GGTTTTGACTCAATAGGTTCCTTCATGCTTGTCTACTGTGCCTTTAATGACTCATGATGTCTCAATATCACACTGTAGGGGCACATAAGTTGATTATTAGGTGGAGTAGTGTGGTTATTTGTTGTTGAGTATATATGAATATGTTAATGTTTGTGGGTATCGTTTCTGGAAACCCTCACGAGACTTTACTCGTCCATTTGGGGTAACCTTGTGGTTTAAAGGCTTGTTGCATATACTAAATGCAACCGTTTTCCCACGAAAGAGGAAATAGATATATTTTGTTTCATTTTATTTCATTTTACTTGCTTGATGACTAGCAAGTAGTAAGTTGGGGGATGTGATTAAGGCTGAAATGTACATCATTGAGGCCATTAATTAGAATCTCTTAACTTCACTTGTTGGTCAAACTATATACTTTATGTGTGTTGAGTTTTAATTTATTTAAGTAAATAAATACATAATTAATTTTTATAAATACTAGTATAATTTTAATTTCATAGGCATGATTCTTAATTTTCTACCATGTTGTGCATGCTTTTTATTTTACAATTTTATAATGTAATTTGCATACTCATGAATGTCTCAAATTGTAGTTAAAGATCCCATGCTAATTATCTTCTACTTTTTAGTATAATCAACATGTTCAATATCTACAACATTGACTTGAGTGAGTGCCCTTCGGCATCACAATTTCCGGAGTTAGTCCAAGAGCATGTGAATGTGGCTCAAGGATTCTCCAACCCGGGTAATGACCCATACTCCAACACATATAATCCGGGATGGAGAAATCACCCTAACCTCTCATGGAGACCCCCTTCACAAGGCAATTCTTATAATCCTCCACCAATTATGTAGTTTTCTTTTTGATTTTTAATTATGTAAAGGTTTGAACATTTGTATGGTGATTTAGAAGTTTGTTTTATATAATTTTCATTATTCTTTCGAATATTTGACTTTCTGTGATTGTTAAATGTTATCCATACAATTGTTTTCTTTTCCTTCACATTCAAGGTATGGGACGAACCATACTACGAGGAACAAGTCGTATCACTACCTTAGTTTAGAGTGAACGGTTCGTATTACTTGAGATGATTTGTGCTCGTACATTGAATGTGATGATCTTCTTGTTAAATGCTTTGAACTTGTAGTTGCGAAGCATTAATTCGTTCAAACCATAGCATAATTGATTTCAATTGGAAACCCTAATTATGTGGTTAGTGGTGAATTCTCTACCCAAGGATTTTTTCCCAATTCAGTAAACCCAATTTCATTTATTATTGATAATTTAATTCCTTAGTTTAATTTACTCGTTATTAAATTAGGTTATAAACAACCAATCTTTTTATCAAAATTAATTTAGGAATTTGACAATTAAATTAGTTTAATTTCACAATAGTCCCTGTGGATCGATACCTGGACTTGCCATTATTCTGATTGAATTTGGTATAGTTTAGTATTTAATTTTGGTGTGTTCAACGACCCACCAAACCTAGAACCACTCATTGTTACTTTGTAGGTTATCCAGAAACCTCGAAAGATTATAGGTTTTATTGTCCTGGTCATGGCACAAGGATCGTTGAAGCTGGAAATGCGAAGTTTCTAGAGAATGATGTAGGTGATTATATGAGTTCGGGTGAACAGTTTAGAGCTCAAATACATGTGCCTACCTTTGTACCTTTGCCTATTGTGACAAACGAGTTTGTTCCTTCTCACATAGAGGAAGTAGGAGCACAAGCAGATAATGAAGCCCCTAATCAGCCTATTGATGTACCTCAACCAGTTGAAGATGTACAACAAGCACAACCTCCTAGGCGTTCACATAGAGTTAGAAGGTCTGCTCTTCCAAATGATTATGTTGTTTTTCTAGGTGAGCAATATTATGAGCCTGAGGAAATAATTGATCCAGTTACATACAAGGAGGCAGTCACAAATCCAAATTCTAGCAAGTGGCTTGATGCGATGAAGGAAGAGATGCATCCCATGGAAATCAATGGTGAGTGGGAGCTTGTTGAGCTTCCTAAGGGTTTTAAGCCCATTGGTTGCAAATGGGTATTCAAAACAAAGAAAGACTCCAAGGGAAAAGTTGAAAGATTCAAAGCAAGGTTAGTAGCAAAAGGGTACACGCAGAAAGAAGGGGTTGATTATACGGAAACTTTTTCTCCTGTGTCCACAAAGGATGCTTTTAGATTGATTATGGCATTGACAGCACATTTTGATCTAGAGCTTCACCAAATGGATGTTAAGACAGCATTTTTGAATGGTGATCTTCTTGAAGAAGTATATATGATGCAACCAGAAGGTTTTGAGGAGTTAGGTAAAGGAGATCTAGTTTGCAAGTTAAAAAAGTCTATATATGGACTCAAACAAGCATCAAGGCAATGGTATTTGAAATTTCATCAAGTGGTCTCATCTTTTGGTTTTATTGAGAATACAGTTGATTCATGCATATATCTCAAGATTAGTGGGAATAAATTTATTTTCTTGGTCCTTTATGTTGATGATATTTTACTTGCTACTAATAATTTGGGATTATTACTTGATGTTAAGAAGATGTTGTCAGAAAATTTTGATATGAAAGATCTTGGAGAAGCATCTTATGTACTTGGCATTGAGATACATAAGGATAGACCTAGAGGGTTATTGGGCTTGTCGCAAAGAGCATATCTAGATCGTGTTCTAGCTAGGTTTAATATGCAAAATTGTAAGCCTAGTATTGCTCCTGTTTGTAAAGGAGATAAATTCAGTAAAGCTCAGTGTCCAAAAAATGATATTGAGAAGGAGTCCATGAAAAATGTTTCGTATGCTAGCGTTGTGGGAAGTTTGATGTATGTTGCAGTTTGTACTAGGCCTGATATTGCATATGATGCAAGTCTACTGGGGAGATATTCATCTAATCCAGGATATGAGCATTGGGTAGGAGCGAAGAAAGTGTTGAGGTACTTGCAGAAAACAAAAGATTGTATGCTTGTCTATAGGAGAGTTGATCATCTTGAAATTACTAGCTATACAGATGCAGATTTTGCTGGTTGTTCGGATGACATAAAATCCACTACGGGTTATATTTTTATGCTTGCAGGTGGTGCCATATCATGGAAAAGTTGCAAGCAATCACTTGTGGCATCTTCTACAATGCAAGCAGATGTGATAGCATGTTTTGAGGCTGGTACTCAAGCTGTGTGGTTAAAGAACTCTGTTTCAAGGCTTCAAGTAGTTGACTCCATCTCTAGACCCATAAGAATTTATTGTGACAATATGGCCGCGGTTTTCTTTACAAAGAACAATAAAAATTCTGGTGGTGCTAAATATATAGATCTGAAGTATTTCAAAGTTTGTGAATGGGTGGATAATAGTGATGTGACTTATGAGCACATTGGTACAAAAGACATGTTAGCAGATCCTCTTACTAAAGGGCTTAGACCAATTGAGTTTGTTAAACATGTTGAGCACATGAGTATTTTACAGTCTTTTGATGTTCTTGGATAGAGTTTTTTTTAAGTACTTGTTTTGACACATTAATGAGTTATTTTTTTTTTAACTATTAAAATTTGATGTGTTGACTCTCATTTTATCTGCAGTTGTAAGTTTTGTGCACATTTGAATATTATTTGTTATTTATTTTAAGTGAGCTCATATAGTTACAGTTAATAAATTCTGAATGAATTTGAAGGCTTAGATTTTAGAAATGTACATGGATCCATAAAGTTTAAAATCTTGTTTTGAGATTTAAAGGCTTCCTTTGGAAGTGTACAGGGGATAAAATCCCATAAAGGGTCTTTTAGACCATACAGAGGACTGAATGTGAAATTAGCATGTTATAATTGATTGGATCACTTGTGCTAAAAGTTTCACACTACACTTTATCACATACAGGAATCCATGTTGGTGGAATATTGGTATTTGTAATTGTAGAAGATATTATGCTGATAAATAGCATAATTATCGCTGCAGTTCAATATTAATATTTTCATTGAACGGGATTTTGTGCTAAGATGTTTTTGTTCTGAATCATGTTTATGTGGCCATTAAAGTTGTTCAATCCGAGAGTCGTTTTATCAAATAAATTGTTTTTAAAATAAAAATAAAAAAATAAATTAGTAGTCAATGTTGCCCAAGTGGGAAAATGTAAGAATTTATTCTTAATTGGGCTACCATTAACTATGTTTTATTTTGATTTGTGAAAAACGGGTTGAAAGTGATTCAGACAAACTGACTGGTATGAGCCCAAATTAATTTTGTGATTCATAAAGTTTTTGGCCATGGTTCATCTTAGTGGTTTTATTATAAGTATGTGGTATGGAGGTGTAAGGATTGTTTTGAGTAATTTGGGTTCCTTAATGGGAGGGCCCAATAATTATTGTTTAGGCCCAGTCCCCTCTCCTATCCTATTAGGGCTTACCTATATTTATATATATGTAAATCTAAGGGTTGTTAGCCCCATTGAAAAACAACGTGAAAAATATAGGAGAAGGAGAGGAAGAGCTAGTGTTAAGGTTTTTTTAATTGTGAATACCGTGTTGTTCTAAAGAAAGCAACACTCAAGACAATGGCAGAATTAAATGGTATGTATTTAAGTTCTTATTTTAGTAATTAATTATATTCATAGTGTTTTGATTTCTAGTATAAAGATCCTGTAAACTTACATGTGGTATCAGAGCAAGTTCATACTAGAATCAAAATCATGATAGATTATTTCAATAGTTTTTTTTAAGAAATAATATATATATAGGCCCAATAATTATTGTTTAGGCCCAGTCCCCTCTCCTATCCTATTAGGGTTTACCTATATTTATATATATGTAAATCTAAGGGTTGTTACCCCATTGAAAAACAACGTGAAAAATATAGGAGAAGGAGAGGAAGAGCTGGTACTAAGGTTTTCCAATCGTAAATGCCGTATTGTTTTAAAGAAAGCAACACTCAAGACAATGGCAGAATTAAATGGTATGTATTTAAGTTCTTATTTTAGTAATTAATTAATTATATTCATAGTGTTTTGATTTCTAGTATAAAGATCCTGTAAACTTACATTTTTATGATTTTTTTAGTTTAATTTCGTGTTGATTTCGAAAAATGAGTTTGGTTGAAGTGGTTTGATTTCTAAAGTTTTATGAGGTTGATATCCTAAATGGATTTGATTTTAGTTGTTTGATACATTTTCCCCTCTTTTTCCTTTCTCTCTCATTAGTTTCAAAGCCCTAATCTATTTTAGGGATTTTAGATTTTATCTGTTTTTTAGATGCTCATGGTTTCATGGTTCAACATTTCCTTCACTGAAAACTTTGAAGCTAGCTTGATTATCAGGAAAAGAAATATTTTATTTATACGCTAGGGGATAGAATCGAATTTCTTGTCAAAACCATTAACTGGGATTGTGTTTGCATGCATATCGAATGCTTTCAGCTTAGGGATTTTTGAGTCTCTGCAATTTGTATTATTTTTTATCACTGGATTGGTTTCTTCTTTGGTTCTGTTATGCCTTTTTTTTTGTTCAATTTTGATTTTTTATTATTTGTTTGTTTTGGCTGTTATGCGAGATAATGTCAAAAGTATGGTATTTCTGCTTGTTTATTGATTGGAGTCAGTAGGGGACATTTTCTTAGACTTTTGAGGCCTAAATAGTCTTCTACCTCAAAGATATCTGACCAAATATGTATTTTTCCTTTTCTTGAAAAAATAATTGGAAAACGGATAAATGGACCTGAGGCTGTGATTTATGTTGTAGCTTTCCCAGATTGGTAATCTTGGTGAAAGTGTGATAGGTGCTTCCCTCAAAGAGAAAGAAGGATTCCGATGGGTAGGTGACCAACACAAATTATCATTTCAATTCTTTATTTGTTACTGAGTATCAGTTTTCTTTTAGTATGATTGAGAAGTGAAGTTAGTTCTTTATGCCATGTGGCCTGGTATAACACTGGGAAGATTGCTGCTTAGCAACTTAACCCCCCCTCTCTCTCTCTCTACTGTTGTTCTGTTTGGGATTTTAATTCACCGCTGCTGGCATCAATTACTGGTTTGATTTTGCAGCTGAACAATGATGTTGTTAATGTCATCAACATGTCTATCGAAATTACTTTGGTAGTCTTGATGCAGCAAATTGTACTCCAAAACTGGTATACATAGTTTTACAAGATCATCCATTTAGTTTTACATCATCTCGCAAGGAAAAGGTGCATGGTTCAGGCCCATCTTTGCTTACAAAATCTGTGAATATTGACTGAAAACAGAAAAACAATGCATGACTGTGAAACTCTTAATTGTTTTTGGGTACCCAAAATTTTTTAATTAATCAAAGGTTTAATCCATTTGCCTTGTATCTTTGTTCCCATCATAATTAATTACATCCAAGGGAAAAAAAAAAAAAAAAAACTGGGTTTAATTTTTTTATTCATAATGTTTTCTCCTCAATCTGTACATAGGGACAAGCAGTGACACTCTTCAAGCTGGACAAAAATGTATCAACTAGTTTATGTTGGGGATGTTGAAGTCCTTGGAACAACCACGAATCGTACGATTGGGTAATTATTCATTTCTTTTTGTTCAAAAGTGTATAGATTTAATTGATATTTTGAACCATTTGAATATGAGTTGTTGAATTTTTCCAGACAATGCCTTGATGGTACTCTCTCACCGGAGCTTGTGAAAGGAAAAATTATTTTGTGTCTAAGTGGGTATTCATATAGTGTTGAGAAAGGCTTAGAGGTCAAGAGAGTCCAAGGAATTGGGTTCATTCTACAGAACCCTATGAATGGCCTTGAATCCAATATTCTCAAGGTAAGAAGTATACTCATTGGTATAAAATTATACTTTTAGATGTCCATAATGAACCCCAAAAGGTGACACATGTTGGTTCTAGTTATAAATCACAACAACAATCTAAAATAAATAAATAAAAAGTGCATAGACTGTAGTGTTGAGTGGAGTGTGTACTCCATCTAGGATAATGTGCATCATTCTTTTCAATGGAAGTTTTATATCTTTGTTCATTACTGAGAAGTCCTCAAGTATTGGACATACGACTGCAATATCATTATATATGAACAACAAGAATAGAAGAGATTTCAATTTTTGAGTCTCTTTGGCACAATAAAACAATTTATTAGTAGCTTTTATGTCTTCATACTTGTGAATGGTTTCATGAACTTAAGGTTAATGGCTATCTTGGCAGCCAAACATTAATACTGCTCCAGGACTAAATATCTTAGCAGCATGGAGTGAGGCATCCTCTCCCACAAAGTTGCCTGATGATCATCGAGTTGTCAAATATAACATCGACTCTAGAACTTCCATGTCTTGCCCTCATGTGGCTGCTATAGCTGCACTCATCAAAGCCATACACCCTGATTGGAGCAGTGCTATAATAAGATTTGCCCTCATAACAACCGGTATACTTGCATGTTTTAACTCACTACATGTTATCTATTTTCTAGCTTTCAAGACATCTTTCATTTCCTAATTTTTATAGGTTTTTCTTCTTCTTTTGGCACAGCCGGGCTAAATAATAACCAAATGACACTTCTCTTTCTCTCTATTAACCAAATGACACTTCTCTTTCTCTCTATGTTCATTATGGACAAAGCAGGCCAAAGGATGCAAAAATTCTATCTTAGAGTGATGTTCTACTAACCACCTACGGAGTTTTATCTTCTGAATTTTCAATAGAGGTATCTTGAAGGGTTCTTGTTTGAATTTAATAATAAAAGTAATATGATGGATGGATAATGTTATTGTTTCATTTTTCAGAGTTACATGTTATCTATGTTAAATCTCTCAATCATCACTCAATTTCACTCGGATTTTGAGTAAAAGCTTCATTTGATATGAACTCCAATGGCAAAAACTAATTTTCTTATTAAAAATTCTTATCTTATCACAAGAATAACAGTTTGCTAAATGATAAACTTCAAATGAAGCAAATATAGCTTTTAAATTGAACATTTGAGTCAAGATTTAAGGGGTGTAATCTTGGTTGTAGCAGCCATGTAAATTGAGAACTAAGATAGCAAAGGTAAAAAAGATTAAATAAATGAAAAGAAAACAAGAGTACTAATGTAGTTCATAAGGTGCTCTGGGAAAATTTATTATTTTAGTTTTAGTTGTCCAAAAGTATTGGTTCAATACCATATTGAATTGAGTTGGAACAATAAAAGTACAAATGAACTTGCAAGCTACAAATCTATGGATCTTATGATTTTGAGTACCTGTTTGTATCTCATGGAGAATACTTTGTGGATAACGTTTTTGGTGTAATGGATTGAAGCAATACAAATACTAGCATCAAATGTATAACTATATATTGGATGAAATATACAATTTTGAAAGCAATAGAAATACAACAGCCTGAGGTGAATCTTTAATCACATGAATTTGCAAATTAAACAAACAACTACTAGTAATGCAACACATAAAATAGGTAATGAGGAAATCCAAGTCTAAAACGCCTAAAATTTAACCAAAGGGCGTTAAGGAGCAAAAATGCAAAACAGTCCCAAAACCACCGTACGGATGTCACGGCCTGCTTCCCTATGACTAATAAGACCTATGAAAACAGATGGAATGCAATTAGCACGCGTAGGTTGGGATTTAGATCCGAAAACACATTAAACTTAATCGAAAAAGGTCGTTAAGGGGGCGAAAATGTGAAATAGTCCCCGAACCACCGTACGGATGTCACTGCTAGCTTTCCCGTGACAAATAAGACATGTGACAACAGACATAATGTAATTAGCATGCGTAAATTCAGAGTTAGAGCTGAAAACACATTAAACTTAACCGAAAAATGGCGTTAAGGGGGCAAAAATGCGAAACAGCTCCTGAACCACCGTCCAGATGTCACTGCCAACTTTCTTATGAAAAATAAGACCTGTGACAATAGACAAAATGTAATTATCACGCGTAGGTGGGGAGTTAGAGTCGAAAACGCATTAGACTTAATCGAAATAGAGCGTTAAAGGGTGAAAATGTGAAACAGCCCCCGAACCACCATACGAATGTCACGGCCACCTTTCCTGTGACAAATAGAAGCTGTGACAACTGACGGAATGTAATTAGCATGTGTAGGTTGGGAGTTAGAGCTGAAAATGCCTTAAACTTAACTGAAAAAAAGGGCATTACGGGTGCGAAAAAGCGAAACAGGCCCAGAACCATCATATGGATGTCACGGCCAGCTTTCCCATGACATATTGGACCTATGAAAATAGTCGGAATGTCATTAGCACATGTAGGTTGGGAGTTAGAGCCGAAAATGCCTAAAATTTAACCGGAAAAGGGCGTTAAGGGAGCAAAAATGCAAAACAGCCCCAGAATCACTGTACAAATGTCACGACCAGCTTTCCCATGGCAAATAGGACCTGTGGCAATAGAAGGAATGTAATTAGCACACGTTGGTTGGGAGTTAGAGCCGAAAACGCATTAAATTTAACCAAAAAAAAAGGCGTTATGGGGGCAAAAATGAGAAACAACCCCCAAACCATCATATAGATGTCATGGCCAGCTTGCCCGTGACAAATAGGACCTGTGACAACAGAAAAAATGCAATTAGCATGCGCAGGTTGGGAGTTAGAGCCGAAAACAAATTAAACTTAACTGAAAAATGGCGTTAAAGGGACGAAAATGCGAAATAGTCCCTAAACCACAGTACGGATGTCACGGCCAACTTCCCCGTGACTAGCCATAAGCATTTATTTTATAAAGAGGTATGCTCCTAAAAATTGTATTTTTTGTAAATTGAAATTAAGTTTGAAATAAATCTTTCATGATGCATACGTATGATTGTATTTCAAAAAAAGGCTTTTATAAATTGTTTTACCTTAAATGCATGTTATTACAACATTTTCCTATCTCTAAATCAATTGATATTTCGTAATTGGTGCAAATCTTCTTTTTTTTTTGTAGATGGCTTTTGACGTGGACTTGTGAATAGTCTATATTTTTGTTTATAGAGGACATTTGACACTTCTGTATAATCCTACTAACTATCCGATACTTTTGTGTAGATTAGTATTACTGATACATATAACTTTTATAATCCAATTGATAGTTGGTGGCGTGGCATATTAGATCACCTTTTGTCGTGGTACAAATTACAATGGTAATTTTACCACGCCAATGGCCATATCGCATGGTAGTAAATATATTTTTTGTATATGGAGGGTTAGATTTTTGTATGGAAATATAATTTTAGTTTGGACAATAGTTGGTTTGTATGGAATATATACATTTAAAGTTATTCATTTTTTGATGGTTGGAAGTAATATGGATTGTGGAATGATTGATAATTTTACATTGTGGAATGATTGATAAAATATGTATTGCTTTGTTTATATACATACTATAGGTGCACGGAATATATACAAGTGGAGAAATTAGAATTTTGCGATAAAACATAAGAGTATTTTTTTGGCAACTAAACAATTTGTAGTAAAAAAGGAAGTATATATTTCAGTGACTAAAATGTTAGTAGTTAAAACCAAATAAAAAATTTCGAAAAACAATTATAGCGACTACAAAACTTTGTGTCAACAAAAAGCAGACATTAGGCGACTAAAACTTAAAAAATAATCAAACATTTAGCGACTAAAATATTTTGCAATCAAAAAATAAAAAACATTTGCCGACTACAAGTTTAGTAGCGAAAAATGTGAGACTTTTGCCAACTAAATGTTTAGTAGGCAAAACAAAAAAAATTTGCCTACTAAAAGCTTAGTAATCAAAAAAGTCAGACTTTTAGTGACTAAAGAATTAGTAGTCAAAAAGAAAATTAGACTTTAGGCGACAAAAATCTTAGTAGCCAAAAATAATCTGACATTTGGCGACTAAAATATTTTGTAGCCAAAAATTTTTGATGAACAACAATTTTGCTAACTATAAGTTTAGTAACGAAAAATGTGAGACTTTAGGCGACTAAACTTTTAGTAGCTAAAACACAATCACACTTTAGGCAACTAATATATTTAGTAGCTAAAAAAATAATAGGAGGAACCGAAAAAAATTTGGCTACTAAATCTTTAGTAACTAGATATAAGTAAGATTTTTCACGAAAAAATATTTTTAGTCGTTGAAAATGTGATGTTTAATTTTTTTTTCAATACTTTTGGCTAAGGGTGGGCTTAGGTCGGTTGCGGCCACAGAACTTCCAATCCGCCATCCGTTCGCTAACAAGTTGGGTCTTAGATGACGAATTTTTTTTGTCTCCAAAGAGCTAATTTCGTCACTATAGATATTTGTGAGGAAATATTTTTGTCACCGGGTTCGTCATTGAATGTTTGTCACTAAAAAGCATCATGACGAAAAATAATTTCGTCACCAATGAAATTACTTCAGTGACGAAATTTTTTGTCACCAATAAAATAACATTTTGTCATTAAAAATCCTCATTTTCGTCATTAAATAGTTATTCAGTACCACATTTATAACTTTAGTTGACGAATAAATTTGTCACCCATGTTGATCATTGATGAGGAAATAATTTCGTCACAGTAAGATGAAAAGTTGACGAAATTTTTTGTCTCCAAACGTCATACATAGGTGACGAAATATATTTCGTGACAAAAATATACATATGTGACGAAATTTTTAGTCACCAAACAACAAAATTAATGAAAACTTTCATATATAAGCTGCAATAAATTTTGTCACAAAAAATATTTATTAGCGACGAATAATTACTTTGTCATAATAAGTACAAATGACGAAAAAAATTCGTCACTAAACTTGTTCCATATTTTATATTTCAATTTAAATTATTATTTCACAAATATCTCTGCTCATATCCCAATAGCCTTTTAAATGTAGTAAGAAATCCATTAGCTACTATACATCACTCCACAAAAAAAATTCACTAAAAAATTTATATTATAAATCAAAATATATCCATCAAACAAATTTAATAATAATCCATTAAGTATAACAAAAAAAACCGTCAAAGCAAATCCCAAAACAAACTAACATGGACTCCACAAAAAATAAAAAATAAAAAAAAATTCAACACTTGATCTTCATTTGCAAGAATGCTTCCAGACGTCATGAAAAACCAATCTGCAAAGAAAATAAAGAAAAAAATATTAATATATTATCAATTACATCTAAACTCATATTTAAATAATTTTGTTTTATAAACCAATTTCGTAGAGATGCATATAACAATCCAAAACTTCAAAGAGTTGAGGTGATCCTTGATGATAACCAACACAGATAACAGAATATGACAAAAGATTGCAGGAAAACCATGTATCACTAGCACTAATGCCAACAGGAACCAGAGAGAATCACAGGACATGTTTGACACAAACTAATTAGGCCACGGTTTTTACAAGAGTAAACATTTTCATTGAAATCTAAATATGTTCATGTTTTATTTTTAACCTCAACGAGGTAAAAAGGTCCAAACACATACATGCGAGCAAACATAAAAACAAAAACAAATACACATGAATAGATATTGAAATAAAAACATAATTACCTCCATGTTGATTGTGCAAATACCTTGAGTGCATTTCAGATATCTGCGACCATTCTTCATCTTCTTCATTTGAGCTCCTAGAAACTTCTGAACGCTTGGGAGGTTGGCCAGAGTTACCTTAGAAAGAAGAAAAACAACTTAACTCCTTGGACATACACATATTGGTAATTGCACATTTGTAAAAAAAGATCTAGATACCATCATATACAAAGTCACATAGAGATATAATCTCAAAGTATAAATTTGGGGGGTTCAAAATTCCCATATTGACAATCTTATATATCATAGAGAGTACTGCCTAACAGTTTATTCATGATAAACAAAGTCTTTAAGAAACATTTGAAGGATATACTTTCATAACTTTTTTGCTCAAAGCAAGAGAGCACACAAACATCATTATATTACTTGATACAAAGAATTTCAAAAAAAGAAATGCCTAACACTCAGGTTTCAGAATGGCCTACAAAAAATTGCATGCTATACCATCTATGGCTTGAGCAATGGATGGATTCTTCTCAAGTAATGCCTATCAAAATAAGCATAACATGTAAACAAAAGAACGGAGATTGACAGGTACATCAAATTTTAATAACATTTCGAAAGCATCATGAGATATCTTTTCATAAAATTAATACCATCAGGAGATACTAAATTATTTGCTAGCAAGAGAAAACGCACAATCATATATGCAAAAAACACAAACATGTAAAAATTAAAGGCGTATAAAGTACTTAGTTTAAATTCAAAGAACAGAAGGAAACTTGAGATAAAAAGGAAGTAGTCTACTTATATTCCAAATTTCATCAGAGAGAGAGAGGAAGAGACTTGAATTGAGACCATGCCTTGCTACTAATTTTTCTCCTAAAACACACCTGTTGGAGTGACTACTTGCTTTTCAGTAAAAGGCAAATGACCAAGTCCATGCTTCACAACCTGAAAATCAAAAACAATAAAAGCAATGATGATTGGTAAGATTTAACATTTTTATTCTATTAACCTTTTGTAAATCAATGAAATTTGGATAAACTAATTGGTTGAAAGTACCAAACAAATAAGCCGATCTGAATAAAATACAAAATCATGCTTTGATATATAACGATCTCAAATTAGCGTATGCATACCTCTTATTTACAGCATGAGTCTCCAGTATGATCATAACTACAACTCAAGATAAATATTCGCATTTGAATCACAGGGAATGAAAAAAATGTTAACAAAATTCCCGTTCCTTTATGTCAATGTGAATAGCCCATATGCAACAACACTCTAATGTTAACTCACTGGTTTGTTGTTGTTACTGTTCACTATCCCCAAAAAATTATTTATACAATGTGCCACCATCCCCATCCCAGAAGCAGAAACCACATCTTAGTTGTAAAGCGGTGGCTCACGGTTAAAAAGCTGTAGCACAACCTTACTTGAGGTCAGTTTTTGTATCTACCCAAGATTTAATTTTTTTTGTATCCCGTATCCCACCTCCTCTCAGAAGTTTGTCAAGATCACTGATCAATAAGATTTTGGGTGATTACCCATAAAAAAGATGGCCCCCACCCCCCCACCCAACAAAAAAAAAAGAAAAAATAGGCTAAGACCCCCACGGGAAATGAAAATAATAATAATAATAAATGAAGATGATACAAAAAGGAATACCTAGAATGTCGATTGAATAACATAAACATTTGAATATATTTTGCAAAGGTTATGCTGACCAAGTTTTGTGCGGATATGTTGGAAAATTAAAACAACAAATAAAGCAAAAAGAAGAGACCAAGAACCAACAAAACCATAAACCAGCTGCAAACAGAAGCTACCAGCATGGCAAAAGAAAAAAGAAGAAAAACCAGAACAACAGGCTAGCAGAAACAACAGGCCAGCAGCACCAACATGCCAACAAGCTAGCACTAGCACATAGCAGCACCAACATACAACAAATACAGCAAGCCAGCAGAACAGCACAGCAGAACAAATAGCACAGCAAAATTGCATCAGTAAGGCAGCACAACAGCACAGCAGAACTATGGCAGGCTATCAGCACAACAGCATATCAACACCAGTAATAGCGGTATAATCATCATACACAACAAATGACACAACATGAAGCTATGTTTATATGCATGATCATATAGAAATGCTAGAACTACAGTTTGCATGGAGACAGGGTGCCTATGGCCATCAAAAGGAAGCTATCTGCAATGAACATGCGCAGAGCTAATACACAAAAAAATAAAAGCAGGGCAATTGGTCATCCTAAAAGAGTGAAGCTGACCTCAATAACTCAGGCTTGCATAGGATATTTAACATGACCTTTAAGCATTGAATCAACTATGTTATTCTACAATGTAGCCTCGTTAGACAGAGACCTTTATTATGTACAAGTTTTTCAAAAACCAGACAGCATTGCAACAATAATGGCCTACAAAACAATGCTATACTAACAAAATTGCTACTCAAATGGATAATTTTATGGGATAATGCATGAGCAATAATTTGAGTGGAGGAATGAGACCAGTGTCAACAAAAATCTTCATATTTATCAAGTTACGGACATGTGGGTCATGGAAAACTAGAATTCCCTCTAAGATAATTACATCAGATGCATTTACCTAACAAAGAACGTTAAACTGTAATTCAAAGAAGTTGAAGGAAAATTCATAAATCATCAAAACAACATTGTCAATATCAAAAACACAACATTCTTTCTCCTTCTCCCTCTCTGAGACACTCGGGGCAGAGCAAATATTCTTGATGCAGACAATAATTACAATGAT